CACACACACACACACAGTCTTTTCACAATTTACCTGGACGTTCTCTAAACACACCCCGGCTCAGTGAAGAGATGGAGCTCCTCTGGCCTGAGGTCAGTCGTCTCTCTGAAGGGAAGCAGGTGCGCAGAAGGTTTCTGAAAATAACTTTGACATTTAGGATTTTTTTTGTTCAAACGGCCTGTTTTACTTACAGGGAAACGCACGTCTCCAAGATGAGGACGGCGCGGCTGCTGTTGGTTGTGGGGTTGTGTTTGCTGAGTCTCACATCTTCCCTGAAAATCTGTGCTTTTAATGTACAGAGTTTTGGGGAATCAAAGGCAAACAACAAGAGAGTGATGGGTATTTTACTGAAGGTACTTTGTTGTGCGAGTTTGTAGCCACACACAGACACAACTGAACACTTGATGGATTTACTCATTCCTTTTTGCTTGTTCCCAAGATTCTCTCTCGGTGTGACTTGTGTCTCATTCAGGAGGTCAGAGACTCTAAAGGAGAGGTCATTCAAGCTTTGGTCAAAGATCTGAACAGGTACAAACTTTAATTAGTTAGAAGATCTGGTTTGGTTAAACTTTAACACTGTTTGTTTCTGCAGATTYGACAAATCCAACTCCTATTCATWTCTACAAAGTGAAAGGTTGGGTAGGAAGAGCTACAAAGAGCAATACGTCTATATATACAGGTATATACAATGACATCAGTCATAACTTTACTTTTAAAGGAGAATACATCTTCTCAAGGCCTCTCCTCTCTGATCTTCTGCAGGAGCAACAAGCTGAAGGTCAAGGAGCTTTATCAGTATCCGAAACTGAAGGGAGACGAGATAAATGAAACAGATGTTTTCTCCAGGGAGCCTTTTGTCGTCCGMTTTCACTCCGCAACCACACGTAATACGTCCCAGAAATACTCAACTGTCTTCAGGTTGTGAGAGAAAAGAGCTGAGATGTTCCTGTGGCAGAGTTAAACTTTGTGTTCATCATAAAAGTAACCAAACATGACAGGACTGACATGTCCTGATGGATCTTAATGATTCCAGGCAGAAAAATCTAAAAAAGAAGGTTGAGTTAGGTCCTCTGGATTCTTCCAGAGAACCTAATTTTCAGAAAATCTTCAGAAAAACAGAAAAAAAAATGAAATTAAAACTAAATAACTTAGTGAGGACTGGTTAAAGAAAATTAYGGGGTTTTGCCTCTAATTCATCTTTTGTCTTCAAACTCTCCTGCGTGTTTCAGCTCCAAAATTCAAAAGAAGGAAATTAACCTCAACAGCTTGTAACCATGTTCTCCAGAAGATATTTCAATAAAATTTGTTGAAAGCAGGTGTGTTGAAGAAGAGAAACATCTTGAACGTGCACGTTTGCTCCAAGGAGCAGAACTGTTGAAGCCTTTTCTGAAACTATGACTTATGCTAAATAAAACCATAAAATGTAAAGTGCTTTGGAGYCCTTGGACTTAATAAAGCACTATATRAGTTCAGGCCATTTACCATAAAGCACGTTTGAAACCAAAGTTAAAACATGAATCAAATGAAAAGGCAGATTAAGGAAAGCTGAGTGTCCTTAAACGTGTGTTCGTTTTCAGGGCTGAAGGATTTTGTTCTTATCGGGCAGCACACTTCTCCCAAATCTGCCATGGAAGAGATGGATGAACTGTTTACTGTCGTCAAAAGGATTTCCAAGAAGTGGAGGACTGATGTAGGTTAAAGCACATCAAATGCTGCTTCACTTCACTTCCCTGTTTATATAAACTTAGCAGAAGTCTTAGACCGTTGGAAAACCTGTTAYGTTTATTTTTAAATGGTGCCACAYTTGGAAGGAACATGCATTTGTGGGATAAATAGCAGAGCTCAGTAGGTACGTAAAAGATTTGCCAGAGCTTCTYTGCCAAACAGCTTATTCTGTTGTTGACTCTTGTTTTGAGTGTCTGGTACCAACCAGTGGTACTGACCATATCTCCACAGTCTTAAACCAAACTCTGTCCTCCAACAGGACAACTTGTCCCCAGAGAGCGTGGTGTATCAGGCTACATCCAGAATCAAACACAAATTTTCTTACTTTTTGTGCCCAGTACTGTATATTCCAAACCTCCTTGTTTTTTTTTCTCTTCCACATGTGTTTCTGTCTGTTTGTTCACTTCTTTTCGACCACAAAAGAACGTGATGATCTTAGGAGACCTAAACGCCGGCTGCGGCTATGTCACCGTCAAAGGTTGGAAGAGCGTACGTTTGAGGAGCGACCCCAAGTTTTCTTGGCTTATTGGAGACGAGCAGGACACCACAGTGAGGGAGAAGACCCACTGCGCCTATGACAGGTCGAACCGAACGACACATCTGTGTTTTTGTTGTTCAATATTCAGTAGATGTTTGATTTCTGAAAGGACCTGGTCATCTCCTCAACAGGATCATCATGTACGGACAGGAGATTCTGTCCAACGTGGTGCCAGGTTCAGCCAAACCCTTTAACTTTAAAGAGACTTTCCACCTGACAGAGGCAGAGGTAAACCGTCACAAAGAGGTTACTAAACAGATATGGAACAATAATCTGATTTATTTGATTTCACTTCAGGCTCTCGAGGTGAGCGACCATTTTCCTGTCGAAGTCGACCTGAAGCCCAGCCGTCGCTACCTCTTCCGCCACGAGCTGTAGATCGGGCCAGATGACAATCAGCAGCTCTTTWATTTAATTTAACTTGATTTTAATAAATTAAAATTACCATAACTATATTTTTCTGACATTTTTTGGTTCTTTTAAAATTGAACTTCTCTTCACACAAACACTGTTTGAGAGTGAGGGAGACGTGCCGGAGTTCATATTGTGCTTCTGAAACCAAACCCACATCAAAGCTGACATCATTGCTTCAGCTCATGAAGGTGCCTATACGTGCAGCAACTGAAAACACAAAATATCTGCTTGAGGATTTTATTTTGACGAAGAAACCAACACAAAGGTTTGCCTTGGATTGTCGTCTTTTATGGTAAGTTCATATTTAATACTTCATTTTTGTCTTTGAAGCAAATATTTTAACTCCGTTGTGTAAATTTCTACTCAATCTATTCGACAGGAAACCACCTGCAGCAGATGAGAGTTACTTCAAGCTCTCTCTCTTTTTATTTTGAGAGAATAGATTAACTTGAAAACAATATCCTAATTTAAATTTCGCCTTGTCTAACTGTAAAAATGGACGGTTTTGCTGATCTCCTCACAGATGCTTTCGCAGGTAAGAAAGCCGTATTGTGATTTGTTTCAGCTTTGTTGCTTTATCAAATAACAAATAACTCCCAGGTGACTTTGTTCTTACAGAGTCTTCTGTTCCATCTTTTACCGATGGAGATTTGGATTTCGAGAGTCTGGGTTTTGAGGAGAAGGGTGAGGAAGACAAAGCAAAGGATTCAACAACAAAGACAGACGAGGCTCTGCTTCAGGAAGTAACAGATGAGGGTGAAGCTCTGCTGGGCAAGGCGACCACAGACGCTCTGCTCTCGGCTGAAGACGAAGAGTCGACGGGGGATGAAGACGACGAGGAGGAGTTTGAGAGAGAAGAGTCGGAGGAGAGTTACAAAAGCTCTGAGGAGGAAAGGTCCTCCTTTGGAGAAGACGTGGAGAATGAAAGAGCAGCAGGGGTTTCACTGATGTCAGTCTGCTGTGGTGACGACCCCTGCGACGCCCAAATCGAGGACGGGATATTTGCTGAGGGACAACCAGTGCCCTCAGATAGTCCTAAAGATAGTAACAAGGTGCAAGGTGAAGATGAGAGTGACGAGAAGGCGTCCTGTATCAGAGGAATCCCTGAATGTGGAGATGAAACGGTAATGATGGAAGAGGCTGAAGGGAGCAAAGGAGAAGATTTGTCTGATTCTGACCATGAAGACATGACAGCTGAACAAGAAGAAATCGTCCCCACCCAAGAGACCGAAAACCCTTACAAGATCAGTCCCATGGTGGAAGATGGTTTGGAGTTTCCGTGCTTATCTTTGCAGCACCTGCAGGATCTCGTCACTGAAGTTGACGGTGAGGAACAGGTCCTAAAAATGACAGACTTCACCGGAGATGAGCACCAAGAGGCAGGCGAAACTATCGCAGATTATCCATCCGACTTTTCCTCCGGCGAGTTCACGAGAGCCGAGCTGAACGCCTCGCCTCTTCTTCCCGAGCAGGAGCCCGGAGCTGTGACAGAAACGACGTGGATCAGCRGCATCGAGGAGCCCGGATACGAGAAGGATGACGGCTTTCTGTACAGCACGGACCTGGAGATGAATGCTGACCAGATCACAAGCCTGGGTGGAGCAGCTGGAGAAGAACGTGAGCACGAGTCGGCCGCGATGGATGAGAACAACTCCTACAGCTCCGACGACGACGAGGAGCTGCTGAGAAGAACCAAGAATCAGCTCATGAGTGTCCGAGACGTGGAGAACAACACGAAACTGGAGGATGTTCAGCTTCGTGAGTTTTCCAGGTGGAGCAGCTTTGATGATACCATAAAGGACAGAGAAGATCCAGCAGATTTCATCAGGTCATGTTTTGACACAGTCAACACCAACACCCACCTGTCTGAGCACCTGTTAACCACAGAGGACACGGACGAGACAGAGGACTCCTCGTCAGATGAGAATCAGCGTCCTGCTGAAGACAAGTACTGCTACTCTGTGGCGCAAAAAGTGACGACGAGTCCTTCGAATCAGGGATCCATAGACGACAGCTTCTTCTTCCACACAGATTCCTCTGAGGTCACCGAGCAGCTGGTCGATGACGAAGAGGAAGAGAAAAGAAATGCAGAACAGATGCAGGAGAGAATTGAGGCTTTCAAGAGGTTTTACGACAACGAGGACGGRAGAGAGGGTAAGTGTTTCAGACAGRCTTGAAGCAGCAGAAAGACATCAGTGGGATTGTTCATCACTTTCCTAAATGTTCATGTTTTCAGAAAGACAGGTAAAAGTTCAGTTCTGTGAGGACTTGTTGTCTCAAGTCAATTACTACGACACTGACAGGTTGGTAAAAATCACATCAGCTAAAACTTTTTGTTTGAGGAATCAAACCAGACAAAATCGGCTGATGGTTTTGTCTTCTCTCAGCAGTGACAGAGATTCATCCAGCAGCTCCACAGACACTGAGGAGGACCTGAGCTCTGATGTAAGAAAAACCACCATGTTTAAACAAACATGGCATGATGAATACTGTCTCGTGTCTTTGTGCCCAGGAGCTGAGAGAACCTGAAGACCTGCTGAGGAAGCATGACGACCTGCTGAGGGAGCCTGAAGACCTGCTGAGGAAGCATGACGACCTGCTGAGGGAGCCTGAAGACCTGCTGAGGAAGCATGACGACCTGCTGAGGGAGCCTGAAGACCCTCTGAGGGAACCTGAAGACATGGCAGAACCTGAAGACCCTCTGAGGGAGTTTGAAGACATGGCAGAACCTGAAGACCCTCTGAGGGAGTTTGAAGACATGGCAGAACCTGAAGACCCTCTGAGGGAGTTTGAAGACACCCCAGAAACAACCCCCGTGTGTGATCCCCCAAACCCCGAGCAGCCACAGAGGATGTCAGAAGTTAGAGACATACAAAGCTGCACAAAAACTCGCAAGGTAAACACAGTTTTTAGCTTCTGCCGAATCAACTCCTCTCCATGTTTTTTTTTTCTTCTTTAAGTTGAAGGTCTTGTGTTTGTTCTCACAGGGTGTCAGGAAGCTGAAGCTGATGTTTCATTTGGGTGTTGTGACAATGACGGGACTCCTGATGTTCTGGCTGATCACAGACCAACCCGACTGGCTGAAGGATGTTTTCTTTGTTTAAGGCTGTGTGTATTTTGATCTTTTTTTCAATGAAAACAAAAACATAAAATAAAGTACTGTTCTGTAAAAAAAAAAAAGTAAAATAAAGAAATACAGATTCCAGCTTGAGTTGCTTTTGTTTAAACTGATGTTGGCAGTTTTTGCTTTACAATTTTTCTAAGAAAGACAGTGCTGTAAAAGAAACTTGCCAACAGTTTGTTTTGACCAAGTTAGACTAAAAACACTTTAAAAAAATAATTTCAATAGTAACCCAATTTCTTAGAGTCATTTTTGTGACAGCTCATGTTGATTAGATGAGGTGGTCGTCTTGAACTGGAGTGGTATTCAGTTGAAAATGTTCCCTCAGTGATTACTTTTTGGATATTTCCTTAAAACCTGCCCAGTGGTTCATGAGATATTTTGCTAACAGAATAAACAGGATGTACACAAACACAGTTTGACCCACTTTAAGCTAAATATTGCAGAATGTGTTGTAGTCAGAACATATCCTGTGGATGACTGTCAGCCACTAAAGTTTAGCTCAGTGTTTGGCTGAGTTTGAAGCTATTGTTTGTTTCCATATTTTATTAATGTTTCTTTATTTGACTTTGGAAGCCATCTTGAACTGGGTATCCATCCAATGCTATTTTTTTAAAGCGTGGATCAAATCTATCATGAGATATTTTGTGATCACGACAGAAAACACTCGCTCATCATCCTTTCCTGTAGATGGCGCTGCTCCGTCACCATGAAGGAAAACAGAAAACACTTCCGACAAAAAAATTAAAGGAAGTGACGTAAAGCGAGAGCTCATTTTGAAAACGTACGCTCGGTTGTAAATTTTAGATCAACAAACGAGGGCGGGGTTAGAACGCTCCACGTTAACCGCTCCAGTTGTTCGACTTTAACCGCTGCCACCCGCGCGAGGAAACGAACTCTCTCCGGTAGTGGGAGTCGATTCAGGTTTTATTTTTTTATATCAACCGAAACGAAAGCTTAACCATWAAATAAACGCGTTCAAACCGCGCWAAAATAAAATGGCTTCGTTGAGTAACGCGTCCGCGGAGGAAATCAGCAAGATGCTGGATGAATATGGAATAAARCACGGACCTGTGGTCGGTGAGTGGTTCAGACACAACAACGGCTCAACCGTCGGGCTACTTAACTTTAAGGCCTCCTGCTCCGTGTGAAGTTCAACATGACATATTTTAGTTAAAGTCGTGGGTATGCTGTTAATCATGTTTTAATATGTTTTGTTTTAACCAGAGAGTACCAGACATCTTTATGAGAAAAAGCTRAAGGAAGCCATGGCAAAAGGAAAAAAGGCTCCAYCAYCATCATCATCATCATCATCTGATAAAACATACTACAGAGAGGAGGGTAAGTTCTTTCATTCACTTTATCACTGAAAGCTCAGCTTTAAAAGGTAAAAAAATAAGTCAGAACTTATTGCACAGTGTATAAATATATATCCAAGAAAGTGTAAACAAATTCAAGTTTGTGTGTAACATTTCACATTGCTGATACAGTAAGATTTAACTTTAAAACAAACTGTGCAGCACTGATTTAAGTTCATCACAATGTTTTATTTAAGTGAGTTTGATCCAGATTAGTTCCACATTGGAAAGTCAACAGTAAAACTGAAAGCAGTATGTAATATATGATTCTGTTGACTTAAACATTTTTTAATAATTCWGTTTTTTAGGCTAATAAATAAAGTTCTGAACAGCTAAAGCTGCTGTGAAAATGCATAAAGAAAAGGAAAATTGCCTAAATTAATATGAAGYTTACTTTTAATAGTTCACATGCAAACCATTAACTATATTCCATAAAATACCAAATTATTTATTTAAGTGTTTCTGTATTTTATACACTGTTTATTTATATGTGACATGAAAGAAAGTAAATCRGTGATCAAATAATTTAGTTTCCAGATGTTAAAATATTTTTTGTAGCAATTACTGCGTGCCAGAAACTCGTGCGTTATAAATTTATATCAATTAAAAAACATTTGCAGTACGTTTTTAATGTGATGTATGTTTTTTTTAAACACAGAAGAAGAAGTCACGTATGTTTACAGAACACCGGTAAGCCTCTCTTTCCATRCCTAAATCAGACAATACTTTTTTAAAATGTGGATCTTTTATTTAAAATTGCTGAAGAGATGGAGACAATATTAAGAATAAAATTTAATTTAAATGAAAAAAAATTCTTGTTCATTTAATAGCCTTTTGTTTTCATTGCATGTTCAAAATTTAAATTATTGTCTGAATTACTGGGACCTGATACTTATTAATGTTTAAACTATTAGAAAATGATCTTGTCCATCAGCTGCAGGTGCATTACTCACAGAACATACAGGGTCTCTGTTTGCATCAACTTTGTAATGAAATGTTATTTTTCATCGCTCCTTCCAACTTTTCAGATCAGAAACGAAAGCCCTGGAGACAGGTCAGTTCACTTACAGATTTAACAGAATCTGCTTCTCTGTTTGCATTCCTAATCTGGATTTATGTTGCCTCGTGAAGTTAGCAAAACCGAAACAATCTGAAATAACTTTGGTCTGTTCCCAACTAGAGCGGCTTATATGAGATCAAGACCAGAAAACAATGAGAGGGAATATGGACACGAGTGAGTTTATTTTTTACAAACGTGTTTTGCTCTTGCAGTTTGGTGATAATTCTAAATTTAATAAAAAAATAAATGYACCTACTATTTGTTTTTTTCCACAGGACGTCCTACTCAGGCTACTCACAGTCGAGGCCTGAATACAGAGGGAAAGATTTTGCTGAGCAGTAAGTGTTTCTGAGCTCTAATGCAAATTGTTTAATTATTCTATTTTTATTCAATTGTTCTAAATAATTCTGCATCAGAAATTGGCAGTGAGATTTTAACCTCACTTGTTGTAGTTTTATTATTTTTTTCTGTCAAATGCACGTAAACTCACTACCAATATAGCTGTCTAACTTATCGTTGCACCAAACATTCAAATGGGAAAAAAAAGGTCCCGTTTCAGCTGTTTTCTGAAACACGACTCCTCCGATGTTTTCCAGGCCCTACATGTACGACACTCCGTCCACGTTCAGCAACTCCTCTCTGAAAGCGACGCCTGTGAAGTCGAGTCAAGCAGCTCAGAAGGCACAGAAGTCGACCCGCCTCATCCCTCTGTGGGTACAGTTTTTCTTCTTCCTCGCCGTGGCGTTCTTCCTCTACTTGGTTTTCTCCAACATGGAGACAAATGAATCCATCCAAGGACTGGAGTGAATGTGTTTTTCTGGAACTGACATTGGGGGGTGGGGGTCTTMTATATTATTCTGCATTTAAAATTGGGGGATGTACTGTAGTTATTTTAAACCTTGCTTAAATTGTGGTTTATGCTAGATATAAATACATAAGTGTGTGTTTCTAGCACACTTTGCTTGCTTATACCCTCCTACATGTCAGCTTTTAAATTTTTTTTTCTCTGAGGTTCATTAAAGCACCGTGTCAAATGGAAAAAATTAGTGAAAACACTAAATCTTTATAAGAGGATCGCAGTGCTCTGTCCTTCCAGATAGTTGCAGTGTGGTTCCTTCACTGCTCTGATTACCTGTTTTGGGAGTCAGATTGTTGCATAATGCTCTTATATAATAAAGCAAATAAAAGCACTGCACTGTTTTGTACCAAAAACCATTGTATTTTATTGGAAGCTTCCAAAGTTGAACAAATCCTTCTGAATCCTCTCCTTCCTTAAACTCTGCAGTGTTATTTTAAAGTCAGTATAAAGTGTTATAATGTAATTCAGTCCTGATGCTTTATTTTACTTATTCATGTTACGTTTGAGCTCAGGTTGGCCAGATTTTTAATTCAAGTGCCTTTGTGTTTAATTAGCTTTATTAGTTGTGTAACTATGGTTTATTGGTTAATATACACAAGTGAGAGGGCTGTCGAGTAAAGTTACAAAATTACAACACAATATGTTAAGTATCAGAGATGCCACATTTTTTTTTGTACTGCATAATCCATATATATTCCAGGTTTGTTTGTAATGTGTTTTGTATTTTGGTTTCGCAATATAATAAAGAGCTTATATATGTAAACATTTCAAAATTCAAGTCATTTATTCAGGAACAAAAATATTTTACGTTAAATAAAAAAAAGGTACAAAAATAGTTGGACCATGTTTTAAAAAAAAAAAACAAACAAACCAAGATCTGTTCTGGAGTTTGACGTTGTAAAATTAAACACCCCTCAGTAACCTCTTGAACGTCAAACTAACAGCTTGCACACAAAATGTGTTGGACATTTAACGTTTTAACGAACTACAACTTCTATTTACAGACATAAGTGCATTAATGAAAGATGCATAGTAGTGTTAGTCTTTAAATATAAACAAAACATACTTTAAGGATCGTTGTTCTGTAGGCAAGTGCATAAATATGTAGTAGAGTCCAGTGTTGATGTGAAACAAAACGTTTAGATCTAAACCAGGGTTCATGCAGGTTTCAATAAGTTAAATTTAAGACCTTTTMAGACCATTATGACTGACATTTAAGACCAAACCGATGCATTAATAAAAACATTCAAATGGTCCCAGAAATTTTAACATTCAAACCTTTTATTGCCATCAGTTTAGCTATTTACTTTTAATAAAAGAACACTAAATTATTTTAATAAAACAGTCATATCTATGAGACCTTCATATCGACTGCTGTGGAACACTTCCATCAGAGTGTAACAATCACTGATATCAGGTCGAGTCTCATTGAAATCACACTTTCCCATGTTTAAACCACAAGCAGTGGACATGACTGAACTTCTTTGTTTTTTGGATGGGCGAACAAGCTGCCGAATGTGGGGGGGCTGTAGTGGCAAAGAGGTTAAAAACATGGAAATAAACTGTGCTTTTTTTCCCTTGCAGTTATGGCAGGATTTATAGTTTAACCACAGACTGAGATCAGTAGCAAACTTCGCCCTTCATGAAGACAGAGCTTTACTCTATTTATGCAGCCAACGCTTCTCGGGAATGATTGAAAGTAAAAAAAATGAAGACCTGACTAAATTAAATTTAAGACTTTGAATGAAAATTTTAAGACTTTTTAGGCCTAAAATTTTGATTTTCAAATTTTAGACTTAAGACCCTGCATGAACCTTGTAAACACAGATCTGATGAACTCAGGTCACAGTTTCCCCAGTTTTAGTTTTAGTACCAGTTTCGTCTCTGTATATATGACACGGTGGCAGGTCTGAGCAGATCTTTAAACTTAACTATAAAATAAAAAATGTTCAACTTTCTGTTGGTCCACTAAAGCTTACTTTACATCTTTTTATTAATACAGCGACGAATGACGATCGTGTTTGTTGTTTTCCAGCAATAAAAATGTCCTAGATCAAAATGAAAAACAGTAGAGAACGTCACAGACGCTGTGTGTCCTTCAAAGTGCTGAGTAAAGTCTGCGCCTCAGCCAGGTTGAAGATGATGAACAAAGTACTTTAGTTCGGTTTTACATTTCTCCCTCTCTGGATGTACTTGACACAGTTTGAGCCCTCTTGACTGTCRACACGGGATTCTGTGAAAGAGAGAGAAACAATATTCTAATGTGACACTGCTGCACARGTAAAACAATGTAAATGCATTACAAAAAAAAATGCACAAAAAGGTTCAAAGCCAAGCTGGGAGACTAACTCTATAATCAGACTCCTCCTTGGTGACTGAGTCCAGCTAAGAGCTCTAATTAGTCAACTTTTTTTAGCTTAAAATTGTTGGTGAAGACATCAGTCTAAAATAAAATGTTTTGATCTCACCTTTCAGTATCTGTTGCCTGTAGGTCCCATCAGAGCTTGTTAACTGATAAGGCGACATAAGTGTTGTCCACACCTGGAACAGAAAGCATGCACTACCCTGAGTACACCTTCAAAAAAAAAAGTAAAAACCTCTTGAAGGCTCATGACGGGACAAAGAAACTTACAGGTTCGTGTCTCCCGCTCCAGCTCAGAGGGTTTCTTCTCCTTGTTGCAGACCACCTTGGCCACAGTTAAAATAATGATGATGGCGACGACGAATGTCACTCCAGACACAAGCCAGCTGATCACCATGGGACTCAGGATTGGGTCAGAATCTGAAAATGGAGGGAGTCGKTTGAGTGTGACTCAAAAGTTAATCWCTGAACATACAGTCAATACAACCTCACCTCTGACGGCTATAGGCAGGGGCTGGCTTTCTCTGGAGACGAACGTACGTCCGCCCAGCTGCACCCGATACATGCAGTAATAGTATCCCTCGTTGGCGCTCTGGGCATCGGAGAAGGTGAAGGTGACAGAGTGGGAGAGCGCGGGCAGCGACTGGCGCACCGTGCCGTTGGAGCGGACGAGACGGAGCTGGAAGGAGCCGCCAGGATACTGCTGCAGGGTCGAGCACGTRATGTTAAAGCCCTGCCCTTTGAAGACAGAGCCGACAGGGGCCTCTGGGGACGTGTTGTACCAGAGCTGGGGGGTCAAGAGGTCCACTGCCATTYGAGGTTGTGCATAAAAAGATGGAGAGACAGACGTAATGAAAATGCTCCTGCTAACCAACATTCCAAATACAAACTAGAAACACTGGTGATGACTCACCCACTGTGATATTAATGGTATTACTGGGCGGAGAGTGGATCCGCTGAGGGGGGAACCCACCCGTGACGCTGTACTGACAGCTGTAGCTGCCCTGGTAAAACGTCTCCACGTCAGACAGGGTGAGGTCCACTCCCAGCTGAGTCGGGTCAGCTCTCTGTGTGACGAGGGGCGTGGCAATTCCATGCTTGTACAGGTGGACGTTGCTGATGCGGTTCAGCTGCATGATGCTGCAGTAAAAATGAACGGACTCCCCAGAAGAGAAAACGGACTGAGGGGACAGCAGCGCGAGTCGGGGTTCAAACAGAGTCCCTGAGAGGAAAAGAYGGGTCAATCACAACTTTGAACACATTGTAGCTGCGGCTTATGAAACTCACAAACATTGAATATTCTTAGTTTTACTAAAAGTACTATAAGTAATACTTGTATGTACAAGAGGTGTGGTGATATGTTTTTAAGGAAATTTTTTAAAGACTGACATGAAATGATGACTTTCTGGACTATTTTATTAAGGGGTATATGTATTTTCTGGGCACATAGTACCACTCTATACCACAATCAAGCAGCTGTTACAGCATTTTCATAGCAACTAAAAGAATGTATTAAAAATCAATGTAACTTTGCATCAACTACAGGTCCTTCTCAAAAAATTAGCATATTGTGATAAAGTTCATTATTTTCTGTAATGTACTGATAAACAT